TCCCGTCTTTCCACTTCTGGGGGTGTTCCATTTCGCTAGGTGCTCCTCTTCAAAGCTCCACCTAGCCTGGGGGTGTGTTGGAGTAGGCTAGTGTTCGCTCTGCATTTTATTCTTGCCTTATATTATTTTAAGGCCACTTTTAAAACTTAGTTTCATTTCTGGTTCATGTTAGGTTCGTTTTGCAGTTTGTTCCTGCATTGAACAAACCTTAGGTTCAGTTGGGGTTTCCCAACCATATTCTTCAAATGAATCTCGACAGTTTGTCTAGTACAATTCTTTCTCTCGCTAAGTTAATTCTCGCCAGCCATGGCTCCCTCCAGCTTAATCTTAACAGACTATTGGGCCCTCCCATACTGCCATGTAATCCGCTCTCCACGTCAGCGAGTCCTCCGCAATATAAATCCTACTCATCACCTTTGCCTCGTCGCTTGCTAGGTTTCCCCAACCTCTTGGCCTGTTGTAGTCCCATTTTCCTCCCCCTTTCTTCTCCCGTGCTTTGTTGTAGATTTTGACATGACGTGTGAAGTTGATATTTATCCTCCTCAGAACCCTCTTTGGCCGGAACCTCGCCCCCTTGAAGACAGCGCTGCACCTTGCCATCCAAAGCTGATGAGCTGTCGTGGCAATATTTGACGCCTTCGGGAAACCTGACGCTGTGCATGTGTCCCGGAAAAATATATTTCCGGCCGACCCCACCGTCCTGTCCAGGTTCATCCAATGAAGTGCTCCCTGTACCGCCGTGATTACCGTCTGAATTCTCGGGCAACTGAACATGCAGTGGTTCAGCATCTCCAACTCGCCACAGTGTACGTAGTTAGCCATTGGCCCAAGAAACGGTAACCCCTCCCCTACTTGCAGATAGCTACTTTGCGCATGTAGAATTATTTACTTCGCTATGACCGGCGTCACCAGCGAGTCCTTCGTCGTGAACACCCTCCTCCACTCAATTTTCCTCCCCCATGCCTCTTTCCATCGCAGTTGCTGCTTCGGTTGTGGGAGCTGGGGTTTTATCACCTTCCTTAATTCCCTCAGCTTTGTGGCTCTGCTCCCTTGCAAAGATGTGACCGCGCCCTCGGTGAGCCTAGCGGCCCCCTAACCTTGCCATCGATCTCTAACATCGGTGTGACCCTCCACATGGTCACCTCCATCACGCTAGCATACTACACCGCTTTCATGCTCCCGTCCTCCTCGATCCTTTTTCTTTTTTCCGAAATTATTTTTCCTCGCCACATATTCCAGCTTGTAGTCTAGCCTCATCACGTGACAGTGAGAGTCCGTGCGACAATTCTGGTAGCCACAAAAACCTCCTCCGCCGTGAGATTTTTAAGGACCAATTCCTTCCACTCTTTCGGCGTCGCCGCGAACGCCTTCAGTGCCCACTTTCGCGCCTCCTCTGCGCCCTGCTCCCTGTCCAGCGTCTTATCATGTTTCAGCGCTCTACTCCTATCTGACTCCTTGCTGATTTTATCTCCCAGCTTGATGTTCTTCAGACAGCCTGGTCTTTTTTTCCCTCCAAAACGCGCTTTTCCCGTGAAGAGAAATGCCCTGTTGAATAACAGTTGTTCACCCTCCGCTTCCCATCTATTCTTCGGGTCCTCCACTACTTCATCCCTGTATCCCATAACACCTTTGTCGTTGCCTTCCACCTAACTCCCTACTCGAGCCAGTGTTTCAGGACTGCTGTGTATGCATAGATCGTCGCGAGCCCCATCAAAAAGCCCGCCGCCTTCTCCCACATCCAGATTTTAACAGGGTCCTTTTCCGCCACCGCTCTTCCCAAATTCTGCATTACTGTGTTGCTGAGCTGATCCTTTGGGCTGAGCACTCCCAATCCCCCTTTCATTCTCTCTTTGCAGGAAATCTCAAAACTCCACAGTATGAAGTGTCTGTCCATCTCCGTCTTCCCTGCTGATATGAAGTTGCGGCATATCTTTTTCACCCTTGACCAGAGCTTCTTCGGCGGCGCATAAACCTGCGCTTGGAAGAGGGGGATCGGCATTGCGTAGCAGTTGACGATTGTCACTCTTGCCGTCATTGTAAGGTGTTTAGCCTCTCATCTGCTTAGCTCCTCGCACATCCTTTCGAATGATTTGTCCCAAGATGGCTTTGGTGACCCGACGGGTGTAACCCACACTCTCAGAAGGCGCTCCCGTACGTCTTTCGGCACCCAGCTGGAAGGTGAGTCGGCAGGCTGCTGCCTTCTCCTGTTCTTCCCCAGCGGGATTAGCGTCGTCTTTCCTTGGTTTATTTTCAGGCCCAATGTCTGTGTGAAGGCATCCAAGAGGGCTTTCACCTCCACTACTCGCTCTTTTCCTTTTAGCACCAGAGTCGTATCGTCCGCGTATCCGATATAGGATAGGTTCCCAGTCCCACTCTTCCGTATTCCCATTTTCCTCGTCTCCGCTTCTTGACACAGTGGTTCGACCATGCAGAGGAAGAGGTACGGGGCAAGCGGAAATCCCTGGCAGGCTCCCCTGACCATTTCCACGCAATCTCTCATCCATCCGTTGATCGAGAGCTTCGTCCCGGCTCCTTCATGAAGCCCTTTTGTGCATGACACAAAACCAGCTGGGAAGCCCATTCTTTCCAATGTGTCGAAGAGGAATACTCGTGAGACGGAGTCATATGCTTTCTGAAAGTCGACCAAAAGCAACAGCCAATCTTCATCCCCCGTTGCTGTTGCGTCGATTACATCTGCCACTATTGATACCGCATCCGCGAGCCTTCTCCCAAATAGAAACCCGTACTAGCGCATGACATTGTATCTTAGACGTTCCACTTTCTCTTCCAGATGTGCCATCGTCGCTCTCACCCGCTTCTTCTCTTTTGACGTGTGTGCTCTCAGACTTGCCCATAGGTGTGAGAGCAGTCCATCCAACAAGTGGTCCAACTTCCCCTCCTGTCCGTCAAGGACCGCTGCATTGATATTCTTGATTCCTTCCCCTCCTACTTATGATGTGTACGGTCCCCATACGCCCGGGCTCCCTCCTTCAGGTTCCGCCGCTCGCACCGTGGCCACCACTGTAAACCAGTGATCCATAAGTCCGGTAGGATGAAGAAAGAAAGAAAGAAAGAAAAATGAGCTCCCTCCGTGTAGGGTAAAGTGTGCGGAAAGCATCCTGCATATCCCACTTGGAGCATATCTGCAGGAGCCTCTGGTTCTCAGCCGCCGAGCCCAGTTTGGTGGACTTCTCTAGCTCCAGGTATGCGACCATGTTTTAATAATTCATGCAGGGCTCGGGCGGCCAGAGAAGGGACGCGGTCGGTCTAGGAAAGGGGCGCGCACGACTACGTACGCCCGGCTACGCGCATGCGGTCGCGTGAGCGCGGCAGCGTTAGCTTCCGCGCGCAGCTGCGTGCGCGGCCTGTGCGCGCGGTTGCGTATGCACAGCTGCGTGCGCGCGGCTGCGTACGTGCTGACCTACGAGGTACGCGCGGGCACAAGCTAGGGTTCCGGGGGCGGGACGGGTGACAGGCGACAGGCGACGCGCGACGGGAGCTAGGGCTACGGGCGACGGGAAGGGCTCGTGGGGGGGCGCACTACGGGAAGAACGAAGGGCCCGTTGGGGGGGGGCGCGCTACGGGACGGACGAAGAGCCCGCGGGGTCCGTGCTATAGGACAAACTAAGGCTCGCAGGGGGGGGGGGAGCGCGATACGGGACAGACGAAGGGCCCGCGGGGGGCCGCGCTACGAGACGGACGAAGGGCCCGCGGGGGCCGCGCTATGGGACAAACTAAGGCCCGCGGGGGCCGCACTACGGGACGATCGAAGGGCCACAGGGTGATGGGACCTGCCGAGGGCGCTACGGGCAACGGGCGGCGAACGGGCGGCTACCGAGCGGCTACCGAGCGGCTACCGGGTGAAACCCTAAAACGAGCGAGCCAACGGGCAGCGAGCGTGCTACGGGCGGCTATCGAGCGACGATCTGACGGAAGCCTAAAACGAGCGAGCAACGAACGGGGCGTGCGGAGGTGGGCCCATGGGAAAGAACTAAGCTCTATACAATGTCAACGAGAGAACCGGAAGAATGAATGACTAGAACGAAGCAGTACAAGGAAACATATACGAAACCCCGAAGGGGGTTGTACCCTCTACTACATAACTCACTGTAACACCTAGACTAGACTAACAAACTATAACAAGTATAGTTTGACAGCCGGATCAACCTTGTATATAGTAGCGACGACCAAGGCATCGACGTAGTTGAGGATGAAGAGAGGAGTGGACCCATAACAAATGAACAAAGGCATGTCGGTGGAAGAGGAATGAACCCCAAAGAAACACAAAAGGAGCGGACAAGATCGCGCCACTCACGAGGTGCCTTCTCCGCTCAAGGTCTCCCTTAGGGGCTAGCAGCATGGCACAGAGGTGGGGAGAAGCGGCCGCAAGGAACTCCGGCTCGAACTGCCTGTCTGCTAGGTCATCATAGCCAAGGGCAAGCTCTCCCCAAGCGGACAGGGGAATGGAAGGAGGAGCAGACACCAACTGTGTTGTTTATTCAAGGCGGTGCATGCCGGCAAAGTCAGTGACAGCAGCGACAAGAGACAAAAGAGACGAGGAAGAGGGATTAGGGTCAGAGAGGACATGCGGGATGAGAAGAGGAGCAGTTCGGAAGTAGTTAGAAAGAGGCTTTGAGGAAACAGGAGAGATGATAGAGGAGGTAAAGGAAGAAAAGAAGGAGGCTGGACACGACGCGGGGTATTACGAAGGAACAAGGAGTGGATGTCAGGAACAAAAGACGAGGAACGAGCCCCCGTAGAACAATGACGCTAGGGAGTAGAGGCAAGAGACGGAGAAGGAGGCAATGGAGGAGAGGGCAGTGATCGAGGAGGAGAACGAGCAAGAGATGCGTCAAAAGGAGAAAACGAGGGACTGTGCTTAGGCGAAGGCTGAGAGTGGCTCGACAAAGGAGGAGGAAGACCAAGGAGACGAAGGTTACTCACAGGTGGCGACGACTGTTGTTGATTCTGTTGTTGCAGCTGGTGTAGCTGGAACCTCGTCAGGTAACAAGGGTCTGGTGCCACAAGGGCAGCACCTCCAGCGCCAGCACCTCCAGCGCCAGCACCTCCAGCACTAGTACCTCCAACATCAGCACCTTAAGAACCAGCACCTCCAATGCTAGGACCTCAAGCAACGGCACCCCCAAAACCAGCACCTCCAACTCCAACACCCCTAGACTTAGCACCTCCAGTGTGAGCTCCTCGAGCTTCAGCACCTCTGGCTGCAGAACCCCAGGACCCGCACCTCCAACTCCAGCACCTCCACCTCCAGCACCCCCGACGTCAGCTCCCCCAGAACCAGCACCTACAGAACCAGCACCTCCAACGCCAACACCCCCAAATTCGATTGCTACTTGTCTCTGTAGTACCAAAGGGCTGTTGCGGTGACTGTGACGACGACGTCGGGGACTGTGGGGAGGGAGACGACAATGGACGCGCTTCAGAAGGAGGAGGGGTAGCATGAGACACACCTGACGGGGCATGACATGCGTGGGGTGGGAGCACAAGAGGAGCAAGACTAGGAGGAGGAGTGGGAACAAGGAAGAGGGGAAGGGCAAGGAACCGGGTGACCTCGATGGGGGTATCGGACGAAGAAGGACACAAACTTGTCAAACGCGACTATGCGGGAGTTGAAGAACTGGTGGAGGGGCAGGTGGTTAAAAGTGAAGTCAGGGGCGTCAACCAGGAAACCAAGGAAGACACACGGGAGGGTACAAGCTGAGAGCTTTTCTGCGCAAGGATCGCGGACATGCACAAGGCAGCCGACACGAAACACATACGCAACACCACGGTTCCTAGTCCACCAACATGTCGGTGAATCCTCTGGGCGTGAGACATGCGGCCAAAAGTTCCCCGCAGACCGTTCCCCAGCTTGCTGCGTGCGATGGTGATGTCCGGACTCTACGTGGTCACCGCAAACTGCAACGAGCCGACCTTCTGCCGGTATTCCTCCTCCTCGAGCGAATAAGCATCCTCGTTGTCGAACGTCAGTTCGACGTAGGTGTTGACGGAGACCAGCATCTTCGGGATCCGTCGGTCTGCTCCTCGTCGATGAATCGTCGACGCAGCTTGTCGACGTAGGTCTACCGGTGGAGCCACAGCTTCCTCACCGGTCTGTCGCGCACGATCTCCAGCCCGAGGTACTTCTCGACCAGCTCGAAGGCAGCCTCCAGCAGCTCCTTCAGCATCGCGGTGCTGCAGCTGGCGGCTAGCAGGTCGTTGACGTAGACGAGCATCCAGCATGCCACTCTGTCGTCGCGGACCTTGAAGTACAGGGCCTCGTTGACTTGAATCTTCTTCCAGTTGGCGCCAGTCAGCACGACGTCGAGTGCCGAGTACCACAAAAGTGGCGACTTCTTAAGCCCGTACATGCTCTTCAACAGCTTGCACACCCGGCCGGTCCCGTCGTCATAGTAGTCGGGCTGAAGAGCCACATCAACCTTGAGATACCAGCCCGAGGTCGCCTTCGCCACAGCGATCTCGACGACGTTCGCGCGCCTCTGCAGAACCTCGTCAAAGATGTTACTTGGTTGACCGGGTAGGATTCCCGGCGCCCAGGTCGACAAACTCCTTCGTCGACCACCACTCATGTCGAGGACCACCCTGGTCGGCGGACCCCTCCGTCGACCAGCTCGGACAGCTGCTGCCGTCAAACTCCCATCGTCGACGACCCCTCGACAACCCCACGCAGGTCGACGACCACCTTCGTCGACCTCCCTTGTCGAAGAAGACCGCCGGCTCCAATCAGTGGCAGCGTCGCAGCAGTCCCTCGCAGGTCGACCAACTTCGTCTACCTGCACGCCAAGACTGGCGCTCGACCTTTGCAGATGGTCAGCTGCACCTCCCGCACACCCTACCACAACGTCGACTTCGCCCAAGCGAGGGCAGGGCCAACACCCAATTCCTGTCAACATCCTTGACAATCATGGTCGCTATGTCCCAGCGGTGCTCCGGGTCGGCGTGCATGTCGGGGTCGAGCTCGTGCATGCCAACGTTGGCCTGCACGTCATCGAGCAGTGTGTTATAGGAGGTCTGCGGCAGGCACGCGTGGTAGCTCAGCCACCCTGGTGCCTTTCTGAGACGAGATGAAAGTCGTGGCCCAGGCTTTTCGACCGGAACTGCACCACGTCGCTATCGGTGGACTCCTCCCCGGCTGACAGCTCCCTTTCGTCGTCGCCGGCTTCTCCCCTCCTCAGCCTGCAACAACAGAGTCGGGTCCTCTGTCGACTTCTCCCCTATAGTCAGCTCCCCTGCCGACTGTCCTTTCACCGACCTCTCCCTCGTCATCAGCGACTTCCCCTGTTGTCAGCTCCCCTGAAGTCGGCGACTTCTCCTGGTCACCAAGATGCACCTCGTCATGTCAGCCGCCGGCAATTGCTAGAGATAGACTTTATATATATATCTGTATATGTATATACACATATATATATATATATGTATATATATTTCTGTATAACTGCACGTAGTTGTAGCTATAGTGTAGTTATACTGTTCCCAAAAGTCATTCAAAAATCATAAACTCAGCTCGACGTCAGCCTCGTGCTGCATCTCCATGTCGCCGCCAGCGATCTCCAGCTGGAACTCAACCGACTATGTCCACGTGATAAGGTTGTGCCGACCTTCCAGCAGCTTGGGCACGACGATTTTGTCCGGTAAGAACTTGAAGTAGCCCTAAGCTGGCACAATCCCACCGTTCTAAGCAGCCGTCACGTGGGTCGCCGACGTCGGCCCAACTCCATTTCGCTAGGGAGAGCGACGTTGTTCGCCGACGTCGTTGTACGAGCTGCACGCGGCCGCTGTCGACCACTGCACTCGTGCTCACATCCCGCTGATCACTCCTCTTGACACCCTCGTTCCCTCGCCGCTGCCGACTTGGTCACTGCCGTCGACCTGCATGTCGACGCCGCCTTCGTTGCGCGTCAGTCATGGAGAAGCGGCGTCCGCTTCAGGTCGAGAAGGATGCTCGTGCGCCCACTTCGCACGAGTGCCCAGGAGGAGCACGTCCAAGGGAGCCTTGCGAACTCGTCAGCTGTGTGGCATCTCCGAACATCAGCCTCACGTGCCTCCAAGCTATCCTCTACTCTGCCGGCCTCTACCGGGGTAGGCGTCATGGTCTGCACAAGCTGCCGACCTAACAAGGATTTAGGTAAGCGGTAAGTCGGCTACTAATCTGGAGGTATCTTGCAAGGCCGTCCACGCTTACCGCACCATGCGGAGAGTCACTCTACACCAGGAGCTGGACTACGGGGGAAAGCACGGTTGGTACGAGTGATCATAGCGTTCCTTGTGTTCTCTAGCACTTGAGTGTTTACGGGGCAAAACGGCAAGAGTTTCACTAGCAAAAGTTGGGAACAATGATGTAAAGTTGGTAGGGAACAATGACTACATCTAGGGCAGAGCAACCTAGCAAACACGCAGGTCGTCCGCTAGTGCAGCAAGTCCGCGGCCCGCGCGCTGCACCAAGGCGGCTTGCCATCGCTGTAGCAAGGCGGCTCGCCACTGTTGCATCCGCGTGTGACCATAGCGCATGTGCGCCCAATTCGGGGTGCGTGTAGGCGATTGAGTACGTTGTGCTCCGCCCAGGACAATGTGCTGGCACCGAGTCGGCCACGTGCCGACGGTTGCGCATGATGAGCCTCATCGACCTTGGGATACCAGCCCGAGGTCGGCTTCACCAAAACCACCTGAGCGACGTCCACACTCCTCCGTAGGACTTCGTCCCCCTGGTTACTTGGTCGGCTGGGAAACCGCCAAGTCTGCGCCGACTTGAGCGGTAGGAGCTTGCAAACCGATGTACATGTGGTGTCGACCACCCAGGTTGACACCACCCCGGCTTCACCAAGTCGGCGTACCTGCAGGTCAGCGCACGCCTTCGTCAACCACTCCAATTGAAGTCGGCCGGCTACCTGTCGTCGGCGAGGTCGCAGTGGTCCCATGCAGGTCGACCAACCTCGTCGACATGCTTGCCCAGGCTGGTGTCAGCCACTGAAGGCAGTCGGCTGCACCTCCCGCGCACCCGACCATGAAGCCGGCTTCGCCCAAGCGAGGGCGGGGCCAACTATCATCAACACGATATATACACACTCACGTAGCAGAGGGGCGTCTTGGGGAGGGGGCTAGTGTAAGGATGTTTTTCGAAATTCCTTACCACGCATCTCAACATCGCGTACAGGACCATCCGTCATTTCGCCCGTCATTTCTAACGGTTATTCGTCGCCTTCTTGCGTCACAATTCTCAAACCACGTACTGCTAGACTGGCCCGAGTCGGCCTACGCTTCGGGACTAGCCCGAACCTCGCTGCCAGCATCGCACTAGCTAGCTTGCACGCACCGCATTACCGTTTGCTTGTTTTGCTATAACTTTTCGCTCATGTCTTCGCTCACATTTTATACTCGTTTGCCAACTTATTGCAATCCTCGCTTAATTAATTTATTGCACCCATAACAGATGTTATTTTTGCCCCCTTAGTGAAATCTTCGTTTGCTCTCCTCGTACCAATCCCCAGCAAGTATAGTAAATGCTATCCTCGCAGTTCCTTGAAGCTGGTGAGATGCGACCTGTGTGACACGATGATTGCGTACTGCTGACGTTGAGCAGGCTGCATCTGATTGTCCACACAATCAGGGCGAGGGCCAGTCTAGCTATAGTAGATGGGTGTGTTCGTTGCCATAGACTCTAGTTCCTTCTCTATTGCGTGGAAGGGCTCCGTTCCGTTATCTATTTCGGCTAGGTACCGCAAGATTTGTCATTGTAACCAATGCGAACGCACCGCGTTTTTGCACTATGCTGCCGCGAAATTCGAATAGCACAAATAGGCAGACCACCCGCAGCAGGTACATCATCTCAGATTCCTCCATTTCCAGAATCTACTTTCACTCGGCATCACTTCGGTACATCTCGCAACGTTATCTCATGCGCTGCGCTAATCATCTACCTCAATCCGCTGCTAGTCCACTGCTGCCAAGATTAACGTGCGACTTATGCGTGCGTCGCAGCTGTTTCAACGGCAAATCTCCCGCGGAGACGCGGTCTAGTACCACTGCCAGTTTCCGTGAGCGCTCGTTGCTATCTGACGCGCAATGACGACGGTTGGAAACAGCTCCGTTGGAGTTGGAGCTTCGCAAGGTGGAGCTTCGCAAATGTCGCATGTACCAGAGACCATGTCGGCGTGGCAGTACTTCAAGCATGGCAGCTGGGCTGATGCCCTCTCGGTGCGTTCCGTCCCGCTGTTATCCGCCAGGCTCTTGCATCCCATTGGCTCTTGCATTCGAAAATAAGCGCTGTCACGAGGCTACTAACCCTTATCTGATAGGTCAGGCGTCCTTCATAACCGCACAGGCATTCCATTCCGCTGCCATCGTCGCGCCGCGACGGAAGCGTACCCGCATCGTGATCTGAAGCATGGCACTCCTTCACTTGAATGACTAATTTTCTGCTTCAAGCTCTAAGCTCTATCATCATCATCTGCGTACTGTTGTGGGTTTTGAGTATGACTCAAAAGTTACACGAAGACTTCAAGCTCTATCATCATCATCTGCGGCCTGTTAGGTTACGTGCCCTCCATCTCGCACGCCCCGCCGCACTATACCACTTTCTGACACACCCAAGCTGTGTCAGGGCCAGGTGGTGCTTCGAGTGCGTGAGGCAAGCCGCTTTACTTTAAAGACTTACCTAGATTTTCCTTATCGAGCTTTACCAGGTGGATGACGGCGTCCCGGCACGCCATGTAAGGGCGAGATGTTGCTTCGAGCGCATACATAAGCTTCTGCATCCCAATTCCCCCGCATTCACCACTTGAGGAAGCAACAGTGTCCCCATGTTCAGTCCGTGAAAGGGCGAGGTGCTATTCGCATGCGCGCAGCGAGCAACTCCAACCTTTATGTTTTCTCCCATCCCTCACTTCCTCTCACCTCACAGTTGAAAGACAGCGTCCATGTGCCTGTGCCATGCAAGGGCGAGGTGCTGGTTCGCGTGCGAGCGGCGAGCATCAACCCGGGTGAATGGAAGGTGCATTCGGGCGGGCCTCATCCCCTTCCTGCCGCGCCGCTTCCCGGCCACCGCTGGTGAGAAAAGCGTGCATTGAAGAAGATGAAGAAGATGAAAGAATTTAAGAAGGACTTTCAAAAGGCAGCAGATGAAAGCATTTCAGAAGGACCTTCAAAAGCACTCCGCGCCACCTTTGGTGAGGGTCGTGCATGCACTGCCTTGTGTCCTCACTGTCTTGTGTCCTCACTGCCTTGTGTCCTCACTGCCTTATGTCCGCACTGCCTTGTGTTCTCACTGCCTTGTGTCCTCACTGCCTTGTGTCCTCACTGCCTTGTGTCCTCACTGCCTTGTGTCCTCACTGCCTTGTGTCCTCACTGCCTTGTGTGGAAGGTGCATTCGGGCGGGCCTCATCCCCTTCCTGCCGCGCCGCTTCCCGGCCACCGCTGGTGAGAAAAGCGTGCATTGAAGAAGATGAAAGAATTTAAGAAGGACTTTCAAAAGGCAGCAGATGAAAGCATTTCAGAAGGACCTTCAAAAGCACTCCGCGCCACCTTTGGTGAGGGTCGTGCATGCACTGTCTTGTGTCCTCACTGTCTTGTGTCCTCACTGTCTTGTGTCCTCACTGCCTTGTGTCCGCACTGCCTTGTGTCCTCACTGCCTTGTGTCCGCACTGCCTTGTGTCCTCACTGCCTTGTGTCCTCACTGCCTTGTGTACGCACTGCCTCGTGTCCTCACTGCCTTGTGTCCTCACTGCCTTGTGTCCTCACTGCCTTGTGTCCTCACTGCCTTGTGTCCTCACTGCCTTGTGTCCTCACTGCCTTGTGTCCTCACTGCCTTGTTTCCGCACAGCCTTGTGTCCTCACTGCCTTGTGTCCCCTTGCCTGGCTCTGTGGTCCCCCCTCTGCTGGTGACGACCGGCATGCATTTCTTTTCCTGCCGCCTTGTCATTCACCCTTCTCACCGTACGCTCGAATTCGGAATCATCGTTTGATTCTCCTCAATTTCCTCTGTTCATGCAGGGTACGACCTGGCAGGCAACGTGGTGGCAGTGGGGCCGGGCGTTACCAAGTACTCTGTGGGAGATGCCGTTTTTGGAAAGGCACTGTTCTTTGTACGTTCCGTAACCACATTCTGCTTTGTTCCTCGTTCTTCCGATCTCATCCACTGCACTGCACCTATCTCCACCGCTCTGCGTCACATCCCTCTCTTATGACATGCGACCACTTGCCTTTCGACTGCGGACAAAGCCTGAACCACAAGCAAACCAACCTCTTGTTAAAACTCTGGTGTTTGGTGTTTTCACTGCCACCTCTCTCCCATACACCCTCCATGCGTTACCCATCCTCTCTGGCCCCACTCTCGTTCAATACGCAGTACCCAACCAGCACACCTCTTGCTTGCTTTCCATTCTCATTTGCTTTTCCAAACCTCTTGTGTATTCTCATTCCTCTTCTCTCAGAAGATGGGTGCCCTGGCGCAGTACGCCATACTGGAAACTGCCGGCAGTGCGCACAAGCCTTCCTCCCTCACCTTTGAGTCTGCCGCTGCTCTCCCCGTCGGTCTCACTTGTTGGAGGTTGCGTGGGGGGGGAGGTTTGCCCCCAACCACCGAATGGTGCTCACCTTCGAGTGAGCTGCAGATTTGCGTGGAGCTGAAGTTTGACTTCGGAAGACCAATCGATTCGGTGCCACATGGCAGCACCAGAAAGTTCGGGACTTGAAGGAGCATTCGAATGAGTGAAATTCGAGTGTCGAATTTCACCCCTTCGATGTTACTCGAACATTCGAGTGTACCGCGGTTCGAGGTTACATGTGCGACACGATGTTTGCAATTCATATATATTTGTGTGCTTTGTATTGCATGGAATATACACTGAAATCGAGAATCACTTTGTACACAGTGCAAGTCGACACAAAATCCAGAGAGCTCCTATCCTACGTTCTAAGAGCACCACCTAGCACGTGAACGCCTATATCTCGGCGGATACTTAGGCGATCGACGTGTTCTACGGCTCGTTGGAAAGCCAACAGAGTGCTCCATCGTTTAGTACAAATCCCAGTTCCTGCAAAGTAGAGGAGAGTCCTTTACAACAGTGGTATCAGAGCTGGTCGGAGGAGTCTACGCGCGCGACAAGGAGCAAGCATGCCGACTTCAAGCGAGGCCTCCCGCACTTCCTTGGATGGTGTCGTTGTAAATTCCGGCGAACCCTGGGCAACCGCGACGATGTTCGACACGTCGGCGGTACCGATTTTCACGGGACAAAATTACTCCGCGTGGAAGTTTAAGTTCCAAGTGCTCATGATGGAGCGGGGACTTTGGGGTTTCTTCGATGGAACGGAGAAGATGCCGGACGACGAGAGCGGCATCGCGGCATAGAAGAAGAAGGACCAAAAGGCGTTCGCTACGTTGATTTCGCGCATCGGCATCAATCTCGTGAGCTCGGTGCGCATGTGCATCAAGCTTGAAGCGTCGGCGCATGAAGCGTGGAAGCGGCTCGAGACCATCCACGTGTGTCAGAACATCATAGCTCATGCATATTGTGTAGGCTATAGTGGGGTACTCCATAAGGGGTACAACCCAATTAGGGTTAGTACTTGTACCCAATTCATTCATAGTTCATTCATTCCTGTTTTCTTGATTCACATGGTATAGAGCGGGTTCCTACATGGGACCGTTCCTTCCTAAGGGCCCACCATAAGAATTTTTTTTAGCTGCCCGCGCACATTGCGCCCTGCCCTAAATTTTTTTTTTTTAGCGGCCCCTACGCTGCCCCTACGCGGCCCCTACGCCGCCTCCCACGCGCCCCCTATGCGGCCCCTGGCGGCGCCCTGACGAGGCCCCTGCCGGCGCCCTATCGCGGCCCCTGACGCGCCCCCTGGTGGCGCCCTGACGCGGCCCCTGGCGGCGCCTGACGCGGCCCTGACGCGGCCTGACGCGGCCCCTGGCGGCGCCCTGACGCGGCCCCTGCCGCGGCCCTGACGCGGCCCTGCCGCGGCCCTTGACGCGGCCCTGACGCGGCCTACCGCGGCCCCTGCCGCGGCCCTGAAGCGGCCCCTGACGCGGCCCTGACGCGGCCCTGACGCGGCCCTGCCGCGGCCCCTGGCGGCGCCCTGACGCGGCCCCTGACGCGGCGCCCTGACGCGGCCCCTGCCGCGGCCCTGACGCGGCCCTGCCGTGGCCCCTGACGCGGCCCTGACGCGGCTCTGCCGCGGCCCTGACGCGGCCCTGACGCGGCCCCTGACGCGGCCCCTGCCGCGGCCCCTTACGCGGCCCTGACGCGGCCCTGCCGCGGCCCCTGGCGGCGCCCTGACGCGGCCCCTGACGCGGCGCCCTGACGCGGCCCTGCCGCGGCCCCTGACGCGGCCCCTGCCGCGGCCCCTGACGCGGCCCCTGACGCGGCCCCTGTCGCGGCCCCTGACGCGGCCCCGCCACCTACCTTTCCGGCCCCGCCGCCTCCTCTCAGCGGCCCCGCCGCCTCCTCTCAGCGGCCCCGCCGCCTCCTCCCAGCGGCCCCGGACGCCGCCCTCTCAGCGACCCCGCCGAGCCGCCCAGCAGCCTAGCCGCCCAGCAGCTGAGCCACCGAGCCGCCCAGCAGCCGACCGCCCAGCAGCAGAGCCGCCGAGCCGCCCAGCAGCCGAGTCGCTGAGCCGCCCAGCAGCCGAGCCGCCGAGCCGCCCAGCAGCCGAGCCGCCCAGCAGCCGAGTCGCCGAGCCGCCCTGCAGCCGAGCCGCCCGAGCCGCCCTGTCCGGTAAGAGCAGCGCCTCTCTCACAGCACTGCCCTCACCCCACTGTTTGCGCTGCTAGTCTACTGCTGTCATGGCTACCCCTAGTGTCCTCGCTTTTGACACTTGCGGCTCTTGGGTTTGCTCCCTCTACTGCCGACCCGTCGCTGTTTCTGCGCACCGACACTTCTTTGCCGCCGTTCTACATCCTCGTGTACGTCGACGACTTGGTCTTTGCCACAGCTGACACTGCAGGACTAGCCCACGTGAAGTCCGAGCTGCAGAAGAGACACACGTGCACTGACCTGGGTGAACTGCGCAGCTACCTTGGCTTGCAGATCACTCGGGACAGAGCACGCCGCACCATTACCCTGACTCAGTCACACATGGTGCAGCAGGTCCTTCAGCGCTTCGGCTTCACGTACTCCTCGCCTCAGGCCACTCCTCTGCCTACTCGCCACTCGCTCTCAGCTCTGCCTTCGGATGAGTCCGTAGAGTCGAGTGGCCCGTACCCAGAGCTTGTTGGCTGCCTCATGTACCTGATGACCTGCACACGACCTGACCTTGCATACCCTCTTAGCATTCTTGCACGCTATGTTGCTCCTGGGAGACACAGACCGGAGCACATGGCTGCAGCGAAGAGGGTGTTGCGCTACTTGTGCAGTACGTCGGGCATGGGGCTTGTGCTTGGAGGGCAGAGTCCAGTGGTCCTTACTGGGCACGCAGACGCTTCTTGGGCTGACGACCAGGCTACGCAGCGGTCGTCACAGGGTTACACCTTCAGCCTTGGTTCCGGCTCTGTTTCGTGGCGGGCTACTCGCTCGTCTTCTGTTCTCGGCTCCAGTTGTGAGGCTGAGATCTACGCAGGAGCCATGGCTGCACAGGAGCTTCGCTGGCTCACCTACCTGCTGACTGACCTCGGAGAGTTGCCTCGTTCTCCTCCAGTGCTGTACGTAGATAACAAGGCCATGCTGGCCTTGTGTCGGGAGCAGCGACTGGAGCACAGAACGAAGCACATTGCTCTCCGCTACTTTCTTGCTCGTGAGCTGCAGCAGCGTGGTCAGCTGCGTCTTGCGTACGTGGCCTCTGAGGCCAACACTGCTGATATCTTCACCAAGGCACTTGCGCCTTGTGACCATCAGCGCTTCTGTACTCAGCTGGGCCTTGTGCCTACCTTGCCTCACTTGCTCACCTCTTGACCTTGCTTGTACTGTTACATATATATATACCTGCTCTTGCTTGTCTAGCCTTTTTATATATATGTGTACTCCTGCTTGTGAACTGGCCTTGTGGCCTTGAACTTGTGCTCGGAATGTGTGGTGACTTTGTGATCCACCCTGAGCTTGCTTTGCTTTGCTTTGCTTGACTGGTCTTGTGACCCCTTGTTCTCCCCCACTTTGCCTATGGGGGTGTGTCAGAACATCATAGCTCATGCATATTGTGTAGGCTATAGTGGGGTACTCCATAAGGGGTACAACCCAATTAGGGTTAGTACTTGTACCCAATTCATTCATAGTTCATTCATTCCTGTTTTCTTGATTCACAACGTGAACAAGACTCTCCACGGCAAGATCCTAGCCCGGAATGCGTTCTACACGGTGAAGATGCGCGTGGGCGAATCGATGCACGAGTATGCGACTCGTGTGGAGGAACTCGGGGAATTGTTCATGGACCTCGGTGGAACGGTCACGGAGGAGGATTGGATTTTGACATTGCTTGCGGCC